AAGTGGCAATCACCTTCATTCATGCCCACGTCCCCCTTCTGCCCCCTTCCCTTCACCCTCCCATCTTTTTTTCCTTTTTTTTTTTTCCAAGTCTTGTAGGCGTGCTGAAATCTTTACCCTAAAAAAAGACGATAAAAAATCTTGTGGGAATGACTCCCTGTGCTGAGGATGAACCGCTGGGTATGTCCCTTGCTCATCGTGAGCCTAACACACAGGCCCTTTATGTGTCTGTGTGGAGGGTGGCCCCTTCCCTCTTCAGCTTCTCATCCACACCCCAGAGGCTCCCATTCAGCCCAGGCCTGGCTGGGGGGAAGTTGGAGCTCTTTTGTAGTGGGGGATTCTTAGGGGAGGCTGTCAAGGCTGCGACTGTGTGGGCCTTTATTTCCCCAGAGAAGAGAAGGGGGGAGAAAAGATAGAGGGAGAGGGCAAGAGGGAGACGGAGGGGGGGAGTACCAAAGGAGAGTTTGGACACAGACGGCCTTGTTAACCGGCACCCCCAAAGAGGGAGAGGATGAGAGGGAGAAAGAAACAGGGAAAAGGCAAAGTAAAAGCGAGAATGAATCTAGCAAAAAGCCAAAAAACATTCCCTCAGTTACGTCACCGCTGTTATTCCCATCCTCCTTCTCCTCCTCCTCTCTTTTCCTCTTCTCCTCCCTATCTGTTCACTCCATCTGTGCCTATGTAAGCCCACTCTTTAGCTCAATAACAAGCTTTTGCCCTCCCCCTTACCCTTCCTCACCCCCTTCTCACCCTCCGCCATTACTTTACACACATTCCATTATCTGGGAGACCAGGCTAAGAGAGATGTCTGGGGTCGGAGCGATCATTATCATCACCTCTTTCCGCTACACTGTGAGTTATAGCCCACCGTATAGGAAACAGACATTTAAATCATAATCAATAGAGTAATATCAATGCTGAGAGGCATGGCTAAAGGAAATCACTGCTGCTGCTCAGGAGGAAACGGAGACGCTTAGTATGGACCAAGATAGTGGCGCGTGCTTATTGATAAAATACGTTCCAGGCGCAAAATGCATTATGTGGCATCACGCTCAGCGCTGGCTTTTTTGGAAAAATAAACTCACTTTCTCAGATACTCAGGTGATGCAATGATTGTGGCTGGTGTGTGAAAATGTGTGGAAATAGAAAGGTGCTGGATTTGAGCAGTGATCTGGTCTTCCTGGTCTCTGAACATCGGTGTCTGCAACTCATGTATTGCTTTCGGCACAGTGGCTTGAAGCTCAAACCCTGCAGAGAGTGGACGCTGTCATGCCGTATACATTCACTGACCCTCTGGTCATGTTAAGGTGACAAGGCCAGCTAAGTTCCTAGTAGGGGGAGCTGTACTACATACACACAGTGTTTTGTCCGGCAAGGACGATGCAAGGTGACAGGTGCGACCTGACCTGGCTGCGACCAGACCATGGTCACCGCTGCCACTCCGGCTGAGATCAGGACTGAATCTCTGACTCTGTGCTGCCACAAGGAGAAAATACCAGTTCTTCATACAGCCGAAGTGCACCACATCACTGTCAAGGAAGCTTTGAGACACGATACAAAAACACATCATGTAATCAGTCAGGACAAATTACAGTTCTAACATGCAGAGAAAGAGCACAGAATCACTGTTATTAACTCATACAGTTTGTTTGCGGTGAATAAGGAAATCTCATGCAAATTTCATGTCTAATCCAGCTGACGTGTAGACAGGTTAGATTCCGTTTTTGGAAATCTTTGTTTCAAGACCATTTGAGATGTTATTTGTTGACATGACCTTTTGCAAGTGGTGCTTATATAACCTGTTTTGTCAGCAGATCTTATTAAATACATTATGGATTTGGCATAGGTTGATTTAAATGAAGATCAGTTATATTCCAGATTCCTTTTCTCCTGTGTATTTCAACTTCAGGGCATTTTCCCTTTCTTGATATGCCTATTTCCTTTATCCAAACAAAACATTTGTGTTTGATATACACAACAATATCTTGTTTTTTTAGGAGAAAAAAAAGACAATCCATATATGATGTTGGTGTTCAGCCTGAAGGCTTGTGCTTTGCCTCGGTTATTGAGAGTGGATGGAAAAAACATCCCAAATTTAATCTACAGTTTCTTACAAAACTCACAACAGGCAAGATTAATAATTTCACAGAGAAAAATAAATTAGTACAAATTAATTTGTATGCACTTTACTTTCAAAGTAGCAGATCAACTAGAACTATTTACAGTTTAATGGTTGTTTTATGTTTGTTGAATTAACTTGACTTGGGACACTGTAATTGTGTGTACTGTTTGTGCCAAAGTTAATTGGTCAGATCATTTAAAAGAGAATTTGCATATTAATTTGAATTCATGCAGCTAACAAAGATGGATATAATATGATTACACTTTATAATGAAATGCTTATTGTAAAGCAGCACCTAGTGTGTATTAAAAATCTCAATTAAATGTCAGGTTGAGTAGCACAGTCAAGCACATAACCAGTCTGACCAAATATTTCAGAAGCACTGAGCTGCAGCCCAGAATCCCAAGGTCCTGTGTAGGAGTGAGCTGTGAACAGATAGTGCACTGCATATCACGGTTCATGTGCAGCCAAAGCCCACGCAGTGCTGATGAGACAGGGATCATCTGCTAGATCTGGAAATCTATAACTAAACCCTTGGTGAGTAAGGAAATTTAGGAAACTCATACTAGAGACTATGAGAAACTGTATTGTTTGTCATTATTAAAATAGTCAGTTCCTGTGCCTCATTCTAGTGAAGTAGACTGAATGTCTAGAGGTGATGCATAGGTGATGGACATAAAGACGTTGCCATCAAACAAAAAACACCTCCAGAGCACAAGTATAAACACAACAATATGCTATAAATGTAAAAAATAGAAATAGCCATGCATAAAAACAATTACTTTGCTATCTTAATTGTTTTCCGAAGAAAATATTTTCTGTCACCTTTCCAATTAAAACATAACCAGCAGCTATATTTGATATATTTTTAAATGGTGCCTGCAGCATGTCTTGTTGTCTAAGATATTGGATTCCACCTCTACATTTTAATGACCAGTTTCATTTATAGATGCAGAGGAATCAACAAGGCTAAACAAAAAGTCACAAAAGACTAGAGACTGGAGCAGTGCTTTATTCTGCCAGCTGGGGATCCAACTCTAATGATTTACATTTTGTCATTTAGTAATTCCTCATATTACAATGCCAAATGGATAATGTTTACTATATATTTTCAATTAGGCTAACAGTTGCACAGAATCCATTTCACGTGCCAGTCTCCTGACATTTCATGACCCATCTGACATACACTTGGTGAAGTGCGAACCATTTCGCAAATGAGGGTTATTCTTGGAGACTCACGCCTCGTCTCTCTCTTGCCACAGCACTCGGGAGAGGGTTGTAAAAGCTGTTGTCCTTTAGTTATGACGGAATGCGAGGAGGAGCCGCAAGAGAAATAGAAAAGGAAAAGCTCTTCAATTGGAGTCCTCCTCTCTCCTCTCTCTCTGTCTGTGTCCGTCTCTGTTCCTCTGCCTGTCTCTTTCACTCTCTCTCTGCATGTGCCCTGCTGCTCTGTCATCCTCAGGGATGTGTCTGAAGGAGACCATCTGTTGATCCATTTGTCTCCTGCTTTGCTTCCTGTGCCTCCGCCTCTCTCCTATCGATGATCAGGCCTGGGCTTTTCTTTGCCCAGCCTCTTTGTTGCTGCCAACAGGCACTCTGGGCAAGACGGGTGTGCTGTTGGGGATGGGGCGGGAGGTTGTGCCCTCTGGTCTCTGATTCACACAGAAAGAGAAAATAGGAATTGGCAGACATGCATCCCTTTTGTACGTACATACCATAAACAGCTAATGAGCCCGGAGCAGCTGCTTTCTAATCTGTGTTTATCTAAAGTGAGCATCTCTGTACTGACCTGAGTCCAAAAACATATTTGATCTTTTGTTTTGTTTTTGTTTTTTGCATTGCTGATATAGAAGCTATTCCCTTTTCCCCCCCTTAGGACTTAAACACAGAGCATAATCATTATATGGAGGCATAGACCATGAAATAGTCTATGCCTCCATATAAACAATGCTGAGATGCTGAAGGACCATCACTGCAGGCTTGCAAGGATTCACCACCAACACATTTATTGCTTGTGAAATGTTTGGCGGTGTTGCCACTAAAGGGGGGGGGGGGGTCTTGGTTTCCACACAAGTCTCCTAGCTGTCACCCTCGCATGCATTTTGCTCTGGGGTTTGACGGACCACTGGTCCACAGGGGGGACTTCAGGGATTGCTTGGCCATTTGATCTTCTCCCACGTCAGCATGGCTTAGGCCCCAGAGAACAGCTGGAAGAGGGTGGTGTGTTAACATGAGCTCTGATGTACCCAAGAGAAACCCACTGTCCAACTCAGACATCATATAGCAGATTACACAGACAGTGCCTGTTGTGAATGTTTAGAATGTAAGAGAGAATCAAAATATGTCAGAATAAGGTGGCAACTGGTAGCATATATAATGCGGTTGCTGTCCATATTGAGTGTTTTAAAGCATCAAAATTAATGTAAATCTTATTATCAGGTCTTTTTCTCTCTCTCTCTGTCTGCAGAGTTTTCATAGATGTGTAAGGTTTTCATCTGGACTGCTCAATATATCTGATGATGGGTGTTCACCCGGGGAGACATGGCATTGATTTCCCATAAGGTGCAGATGACATGTGGTCACACGCACTCCTATTTTACCAACAGCCGTGTCATCCAATAAGTCATGATTTCACCGCTGCTGTCACCTGACATGATGGTTTCTCTCACAAAGTTGGGGTTGGGTTAGCCATTGCAGAAAACCTTTTATCCTGCAGGTGCACATGGAAAATAAATTCCATATTGCATGTGCAAGTTTCAGACTACCTTCCATTTTTATGTTGGTCAAGTGCACATTTCAGTATGCATAACCATGTGATTTATTTAATTAGCTGTCTCTGTCTGAGTTTTTAATCTCATCATTTCTGTGTGTGCTGCAGGCTTCCTCAGCACTGGCGACCAGGCTGCTAAAGGAAACTACGGGCTCCTAGACCAGATCCAGGCTTTAAGGTGGATCAGCGAGAACATTGGCTTCTTCGGAGGAGATTCCAACCGCATCACTGTGTTTGGTTCTGGGATCGGAGCTTCCTGCGTCAGCCTGCTCACCCTCTCCCACCACTCTGAAGGTACAGTACAGCAGAGAGCGAGGGAGTGGGGTGGAGGGGTGGGGGGGATACAGCTGTGGAGCTCATGCCTGCCGGTGTGTAGGCTGCTTGATATTAGAAACTGGCGATGCAGCTAGCGAGTTATTGAGTAATGTGTTCTACTGTACTATGCAGCATAACAAATGCTTTAAGAAGCAGGTGTTTGCATTTAAATAATTGCGATGATCATTCCCATCCAGAAATTGAAACTCTACGGCAGATTTCAAGTGGGACTTGATGTACTCTGCTGGTTTGCTAGTATCCCCCTCTATGTCAGAAATAAACATGTAGGTATAATGCATCTTGGTAAGCAAGATACAAAAGGACATGGTGTACCAGGGAGAGCTTTTTAGTGGCATCCACAGTCATGATAAATGTCACACACACACACTCACACTGTTCTCTTTGTAAGCAATGTTGTTTATCTGCTGGCTACCTTAATGCTACTTCATGATGATTTACTGCCAATGTTGGCCATGTCTTTAATACTAAATGCAGCATGCGCGTTTAACCTGGACATGCGATAAACATCCCTCATGCTCCTGCTCCTCCTAATGCATCACTGAATTAAGATGGAGCCTTACTGCTTATAAGTAAGTTCTTGCAGGAAGTGCTTTGGCTTAACTGTTGTTAACCCTGCAGAGCCACATCATCCTTAACCCGGAATTTTTACACTCAGTCACGTACTTGTCCATCCGTTTAAAAGCTGGCTGTTTGTTTCACCTTTAATTAATAGCGGTGTTGTGTACATGACAGGCTATCAGGATATGGAGGTGTTGTTCTGGAGCATTGTGTATGTTTTCCTGAATTGTTTATGTGGTGGTGATATTCCAAATGAGAAAGCTTTACATTCAGCCACGCATACAGCCTGCTTGGGAACATGTTAACAAGCCATAAACATGCTGCTTTGGACACACAGGGTTGGAAATGTAACACGGGGCTTTTGCTGTACATTACATGGAAGTGAATTGCATTAAAGAAATCACTCTTGCATTATATAGTGGATAGGTTTTAGGCAGTACTGTGGTCAGAAAGCTAACCACCACACATACTCTTACACACACACACACACACACACACAATTCTTTTTCTTGTCACTAGGTAGAGTGAAATCTCCAATGTGCATTTGAAAGAGGTCATTTGAGCTGCTCTTCTTTGGTCCCCATTACAGTGCCAGGGATTTGTGATGTGTTTTGCGTTCTCCAATTTGCATTAAAGTGTTACTAATTGCCTTGATTTCCTCCGATGAATGATGACTGCTTTTGGATTGAATTTTTACCATAAATGCCTTTTTTATTCATACTCCATAATGCTACGCTCCATGTAGCATGTTATTATACTGCCAGTGAAACCATCTCCTCTGCCTCCTAGTAAATTGGATATTACCGGGTCTGTTTTTTCCCCTGAATAGAAATGTATGCCCCACTGATGGGATAAAAAAAAGAGCCAGTAAAACTTGAGGGATCCTAGGAAATTGAAACAGGAAGCCTTCTATCACGCCAGGACTCTTGCTGCGAATGTTACCAATGGCAATCAGATTTCACACAGTCTCTTTCGGAGCACAGATTGTTGTAATTATATAAAGTTTAGGACTGGAGTGGGCTGCAGGATGTGACAGGAAATCCAAGTGAAGAAATGTCTTTTTGCACCTGCTTTCACAATCTCCGCTGTACTCTACCCCTGCTCTTCTCATCCTCCTCCTCCTATACTATAGTCTTACCAGTTGAAGTGAAAAACTGGTAGAATGTCTTTGTTGCCAGGACAACGTAATAAACAAGAAAGGAATCAAAGTGTCTGGATCCGAATAGCGGTGAAAAGTGAAGTAAAAATCTATGATCAAATGAATTATACACTGTGGCATGAGCACACCTGGTTTCAGGTGGCCTTTAGTAATGGATTTCTGTAATCATTTTCTACTGTAGCAACTCAGGAAGAGCGCCTTATATTGAGTTTCCTATTTTGCACTCTGAATGGAAATTAAGTCAGGAAACAAGATTATAAACAATGTATCATGGTCCCACTGCCATCTCTTGATTTGACTTTTTATTTAGACTTGCCTGCGAAAAAAAATTCATACTCAATCTGTAGAAATAGACGTAGATGTGTCACATTGAATCAGGCGTGTTTGAACTCAGGAGTAGCATACGATATCATATTATAACACATGTCTACAAGCGGGCACATGCATACAATTGTACACAAACATCTTCCTTCACCTGAGCCCAGGTAAAAAAGAAAAGACAAAAAGAAAAAGTAAATCAGCAATGACACACTGTTCCGGAGTTCCCTGGTGTGTCGGTGTGTTAATGACAGTATTTCCACTCTTACTGTACACAGTCTGTCATCACTGCCTACAGTGCATAGACTTTCCATCTAACAGAGACTCCTTTTATGCCTGTTGGAGGCAGAGTGACAACTTACTTCAGATGCTCCATGCTCCTCCTGAAGCCTATTTAATAAGCTGGATCCTCCTATATCATCCTAGCCCTACGGCCTCTCTCTTTGATTGCCTGCTCCTCTGGCCTGGCCTTGGTGTCGTCTCCATGTGGGCGTGCCGAGGGCTCCAGTCACAGGGTACATCCATCACACAACCCCCCCCCCCCCCACACCCACCCCCCCCCCCCCCCTTTCTGGCCTGCATGGAGGCTGGCCTGGATGTCCTCTCGTGAGGGCTGGATTTTTTAGACCCCGGTCTCTGCCCTGCCTCCTCCATCTAATCTCCTCCTCACTGCACCCATCTGTCTCCCTGCCTTCACAGACAGTAAAAGCATGCGAGGGACACACGCTTTCTCTCCATGTGCCAGCGTGTCTTGTCTCTCTCTCTGGGTTTCTGCTCCCTAGTCTGCAGCATGTGTGGTGTGTTGCTATTAATAAGATGGCTGCCTTGTCTGCTATGTGGCGAGCAATCTAGCTGCACATCTGAGACTTTGGAACCAGAATGGTCATTAAAAGCGCAGTCTCTCTCGGCAGGAGAGTGTTTTTGACCAGCTTATTAAATGTAGCTCAACAGTTGTGGTCCCACAGAGGGAAATCTCCGTCCCCATCTTCTTTTTCTCTGGCTTCAAACAGAAAACAGCTGAAGAAGTTCAGAAGCAAGGACATTAGCCAGTCCCATGTATTATCTATCTGGCATCGTGCAGGCACTAATTGAACATGCAGATTTGGCTTTTTCCCTATCTCCTAATAATCATTATGATATAAAAAGTGAGATGGCTTCTCTGCACAGGAACAGAATACCAAGCAGCCAGTGACTCAGACATGTGTATTTCTACATATATATCTGAGTCTAAGAGAGTAGATATATATTTTTCTCCCTTCACAGAGACAGAGAAGATTCTGAATTCTTACTCACATGTGTGCATCACTGTGCGTATCCCAGCTGTCCACATATGTGCACACAGGCGTGTCTATCCACGGAGCACACATGAGGGAAGGGCTGGTTGTGGAGCCGCTGAAGGTCGTTTGGTTTCTCTTTTTTTTTCTTCTCTTCCTGTAAGCAATCAGGATAAAAGCTCCGCTTCTGAGGAAGTGCTCCCCTTTTAATGGAACGTCTTGGACATTAAAGACAGCTAGTGTGGAGGATCCTTCATGCCAATGTCAGCTTTCATTTTTATTAAGACTTCTGGGTTATTGAGGACCATAAATGTGCATGTTAAATGCTTGGGTTTTTATTACAGTAGTGCAATGACTACCAAGGCTTTTTAATGCAAGACACCACCTGCAAACACTGAAACCCCATGAACCATGAGTATTAAGAGGGCAGTGTGACAGGTACTCAGTTTTCAGCAAAGGGCAACAAGTTTCTGAATCCATTTAGAGTGAAGGATAGCATAGAAGGTGATTAAGTGAAGGAATGCATCGTGGCGTATGTGAATAGTGAGGATCAGAGAGATTGAAAAAATCTAATGGCGTGGCAGGACATTTCTCTCCAATCAAATCTGAAATATTAACTTTATTAATTGCTGCTCTACATAGTGAACTACTTGCTGTGGATTTTCTGACTAGAATTTATGAGTCATGCTGTCTTGGAAAGGATGTGACTTGAAAGTCATAGGAACTGATGTATTACTGTACAATCTCCTTCAGCTGATTGGGTGAGAAACTAGCTCCAGTGACTTGATTGTGATGTAATGATTACAGTGAGACACAACCTGCCATGTCCTGAATGGTCAAGTGTGTGCAGTCAGTAAATCATCTGAGAGCAAAATGGCTGTCAAGAAAACAACTAAAATGACACACACATCTTAGTGAATGTGACAGTTTGCTCATAATACACTGTTACTGTTATTACTGTCTGTTATACAGCAAACATTTAGAACTGTACTTTTTTAGGATTATTAGGTTAAATGATAAAACAAAGTAGATGTATAAATCATGTAAATCATCATAAATGTATACAGTGAATACATTTTGTCTCACATTTCAACTTGATAAACAATTAGTTTAATGAAAACTGAATATTTTACTTTGTGATATTCATTACAAATACATAAACATTTGTCACTGAGTTTGCATTGGTCTGACATCTCTTTCTTTCTAAAAATCTACAGTGGTCAGTGTTTACACCCAGTAATGCTCATCACAGTTTTGTCATTTCTGTTAAAACTAATTTTTCTCCCCACCACTACACTCCCCGTGGACACAAGACTATTCCCCCTGTAGTTTAAACAAAACAAATATTTCATGTTGAAATGATACTGATACAGAAGCAAATAACAAATAAGTCAAAGTTGTATAATAAATAATAATGATAATGTAACATTAAATTATGGGTTAAGGCTGGATATTTAATATGAATATGGACCCTAAATAAAATCATATTGATCAGTTTGCAAAATATTTCTTTCATATTAATCATATAATTGCTTCATTAGTCTAAATTATGCTTCACTATCAGATTGACTGGCTTTACACATTTGTGTAAAAATGCCAGACAAGCAGTGTTCAAATACAACACAGTCTGATGGAGCTGATTCATGGGA